ACCTTTGTTGAGAAGGAATCAAAACTCAGAATTAAAAATGAATCCAGGTCTATAACAATAAGACAGAGACGGTACTTGGGAGTTTGTGTTTTACACACCACTGATAAAATGAATTATGTTCAAAATTTTGCACTGGTGCATAATAGTATCACTCTACTTTTTAAACATATGTATTTCTGCTAAGTATCTTGGCCTAAAAGAACCCTGTTATTAAAATCGTATTATTTTTTCAAAGTATTGAATAGGAACAGAGCTACCACAACAGTAGCTTTTTGGGACAAACACAGCATGCCTAAAGGGTAAAAGAGCAGTACACAAAGGGGATTATAGAAATAAAAGATGAGCAAAATATACAGCAAAAAAATGTTAGGTTCACTTTCAGCGATACTGCTTATTTCACTGGCAATCTGCCATCATGCTTTGCCTCCTCACAAATGATACATTCAATGGTCACAGGAGAGCCTGCAGGAATTCATCTGAACATAAAATCTAGTCATTTTCCTCAAAAAACATTCCACAGATCAACTCACAAAGTATCAACAGATGATCCTTGCCATTTTTCTTAGCAAAATACTTCCTCATGAATATACAATTCAGTACCATAAATTCTTAAGTATTCTTAACATAAATAGTTTCCTAAGTCATTTACTGATAATGGGCAATATCTCATCCAATGGAATATGGATGGAGGCTGTTCTTAACTTTAGTTGCCTTTTGATTAACCTCTTTGCAAATCTTAACCTATCAAAGACACTATGTCACTACTGCTATACAAGGGAGAAAACAAAAGGAAAAAATAATTTCCCTCTCCTTCTCTCACACAAGAGCTGTGTATCCACTAATATTAAAGGAAATTATACTAGAAGAAAGAGATAGTAGAAAGTTGCTAGATAATTAAAGACATAATTAAAACTTTGGTTTTAAAGAAGCTAAAGGGGCAGTAATTCACTGATTTCCAATAGGAAGATAAGTCTGACTCCCAGTAGACACATATTCAAAGTAGTAACAAATCTTATTTCTGTTGCCACACAGAGGTTTGCTACTCTAGCTCTCACATGCCTGAAGTGTTACTAAAAAGCAAATATTTTCTGCTTCTCTATACTTCCTGTCTTTTGTTAATTTAGCAATCACAAGGAAAATATTTTAAAATTCCTAAATTTAACACGTAGAAATGAGAGCCTTAGATAGCAGTTACTTTGTATAATACTTATCTTCATCATTCTAAAATCCATAGCTGAATTTTAACTTGAATATGTGTTATTGAATCAGTGTATCTTAATATACCAAGGTCTCTTAGCTGTCTTAAAATAGTTCTTTCATTTACAACCAACCAACCAATCTTACCTTGAAGAATGATCAACTTCTTGTATTAGGTCACAGCAGATGTTTTTACCAATGGGATTTATTCTGCTTTCAGGTAACATTATTTCCATAAACTTCTGGAAGCACTACTATTCTTTCCTCATCTTACAGCTGAGCTGTTGTTTGAAACACATTTCCAACAGCTAATCCCAGACCAACAAGCAGTATCTGCATATCACTTTCACAGGAAATTCATTAGGGAGCTTAGTATTCATTAAGAGGCAAACCTGTTTATATGGAGAAAATTAGAAATTGTCTGCAGTATCCCCAAGTGTAACTTTAAGAACAGCTATGAGATACTGTAACTTGCAGCTCTGCTAATCACTTCACAGATTTAACATCGTCCTTTTGCAATTCAGTTTCTCCGGGTACTTGACAAGAGGAGTACTTGACCTATTTTGGGGCTTCTGCTCCCCAAACACACTTGTCAGGCTAAAATCATCTTATTCAATAGGATCACACATCCTACTGTATTTTTTGCGAATATTTTAGTACTGGCAAGATAATGGAAAACAGACGGGAGACAGGACAAAGTCATGTTAGAGCTTAACTTGCTTACTTTTTCTAATCACGTACCTTTTGTTAAACAGGCTTGGAGATAAAGGTGGCTTGGCTTTTATCAAATGTCTCTGTATTTGCCTTAAATAAGGAATGTATTTCTTTTTTCTTCTTTTTTTTTTTTTTTTTTTATTTGTTCATTGGACATTTATTTTACAAGGATTTTT